AGAAGAAGAAGAAGAAGAAGAAGAAGAAGAAGAAGAAGAAGAAGAAGGAGAAGGAGAAGAAGAAGAAAGACAATGATGATTGTGGGATCCTCAGTGCTCTTTGAGCTTGGTTCTTTTCCTGCAGACCTTTCATGACCCAACTAGGTAACATTATCAAGACTAGAAGGGAGTCGGATTTGCAGAAAAGAGGAGGAGGAGGAAGACAAGGATGATTGTGGGGTCCTCGGTGCTCTCTGAGCGTGGTTCTTTTCTTGCAGACTTTTCATGACCCAACTAGGTAACATCATCAGGAGTAGAAGGGAGTAGGGTTTGCACGTGGCTGGCTGGGGAATTCTGGGAGTTGAAGTCCACCCGTCTTTAAGTAGCCAAGCTTGGAGACCCCTGAGTAGGTTGTCCATTCTCAGATATTGGGTGTGCGGCATTTCTCTTTCCTGAATGCCAGCTTGGCCTGGCACCTATGAGGACACCTTCCCCTTCGTTGGCTCGGGCAGGGGTCTCCCACCTTGGCGACTTTAAGACTGAATGCTTGCTCCCACCCACCCGCCAGCAAAGACAACCTGCCCAGGGAGACCTACAGACGCACCCAGCCTTGCTCACCGTGTCATCGTCAAAGCCAGCCAGCCGGATCACCTTCTCTGCCACGGATGCCCGGCTCACGTCCATCTCCACCGTGTACAACCGGGCGCCCAAGGGCAGCGACTGCGCCACGAGGACGGAGGTGTAGCCACAGTAGGTGCCCAGCTCCAAGACCGTCAGGGGAGCCTGGTCGAAGATGAGACGCTCCAGGATCTTGGCTAGGGACATCAGAAAGACCAAAGGGGAAGGGGGAATGAGCACCAGGCAGAGGGGAGGGTCAGAATAGACAGACTGGCAGACTTGGAAGGGGCCTCGGAGGCCATCTAGTCCAACCCCTTGCTCAAGGAGGAGACCTCATACCAGTGATGGCAAGCCTTTTTGTGGTGTGCCAAAAGCGCTCCCGTGCCGGCACCCACAATGCAATGCCCCCCCCCATGCCTGCGCGTGCAATACCCCATCCCCCTTACCTGCACTGCACAGGTGTGCACCTCCCAGCTGATTTTCGGCTCGTTTGAGGCCTTTTTCGCCTTCCTGGAGACACGGGGGAAGCCTCCGGAGCCTCAGGAGGCCGAAAAATGGGCCTGTTTTGGCCCTTCTGGTATTTCCGGAAGGCCCGTTTTTCGGCCTGCGAAGGCTGCAGAGGCTTCTTCCCTCAAGCCTCCGGGAGGACGAAAGCAGCCTCAAACGGGCCAAAAATCAACTGGGTGGGTGCGCAGATGCGCAGTGCAGCTAAGTATGACTGAAGCTCGTGTGCCACAGGTTCACCATCACGTCTCTATCCCCATGAAAAGATCAATGGCTGTCCAGCCTCTTCTTAAAAGCCTCCAGTGATGGTGCAGCCACGATTTCTGGAGGCAACTTCCGTTCCACTGGTTATTTTTTACCCCATATTTTTATTCAGAATCCAGCACTAGCAATTGCGCTTAGACTTAACGCAGGTCGTTCTCAGCTTACGTCCACCACAGAGCCCAACATTTCTGTAGCTGAGCAAGACCGTTCCTAAAGTCGATTTCGCCTTTATGACCTTTCTTGCCCCCTTTGTTCTGTGAATCACTGCAGTTGTTAAGTGAGTCGCAGGGTTGATAAGTGAACCTGGCTTCCTCCATTGGCTTTGCTCGTCAGAGGGTCGCAAAAGGGGATCACCTGACCTCCGAGGACACAGCGACCGTCATATGTGTGAGCCCAGGGGCCGAGCATCTGAATGTAAATCACAGGAATGCAAATCGAGTCGTAACTGTGAAAAACGGCCATAACTCACTTTTCTCAGCGCCGTTTTAACTTCAGACGGTCACTAAGCAAACTGTTGTAAGTGGAGGACCACCTGTCCGCCCTTTCACCGGGCTTTTACGGCCCTCTCTAAGCGGTTTAGAGGGTCAGCCTCTCGCCCCTTGTAAATGTTGGCGCAGTCACCATTCCTGGAGGCCGGTGGCTCCTCCACCGGTTCTAGGCCAGGAATAGTGAGTCCAGCAGAAGCGGTGGGTCATTCGTCGGGGTTTGGGTTTAAACATGCTTGGGATATAAACACAGCAGGCCCATCACCTGACCAAATTTTTTTAAAAATAAAATGAGATAAATAATGGAAAGAAATCCAAAAGGCAGACTTGCTGGATGGGTGACTAGGATCATTTTTGGCTGTCAGTTTTCTAACTGAAGAAGAAAATGGAGGGGATCTTCCTTGCAATTCTCTTTCTACCTAAACTGCCAAATTATTTATTTATGTATGTATGTATTTATTCATTTATTTCCTTCCTTCCCTCTCTTCCTTGTTCCTTCCTTCCTTTCCTCTCTCTCCCTGTTTCTTCCTTCCTTCCCTCCCTCCTTCCTTTCCTCTCTCTTGTTTCTTCCTTCCTTCCTTCCCTCCTTCCTTTCCTTTCTCTCCTTGTTCCTTCCTTCCTTGTTCCTTCCTTCCTTCCTTTCCTCTCTTCCTTCCTTTCCTTTCTCTCCTTCTTCCTTCCTTCCTTGTTCCTTCCTTCCTTTCGTCTCTTCCTTGTTCCTTCCTTCCTTCCTTCCTTCCTTCCTTCCTTCCTTCCTTCCTTCCCTCTCTTTCCTTGTTTCTTCCTTCCTTCCCTCCCTCCTTCCTTTCCTCTTCCTTCCTTCCCTCTGTTCCTTGTTCTTTCCTTCCTTCCCTTCCCTTTGCTTCCCTTCCCATTTTCCTTTTCTTTCTTAATTCATTCCTCCCTCTCTCATCTACCCTCTATCTTCTGCTCATCCGTATCTATCAGGTGTATTGGCCACTCCTCTTACTACAAGGCAGCTCGGGACAGGTGCATGGGGGTGGGGGGCGATCTCCGGAGTGCCCACCTTTCTGGGGTCCCAGGGTGCCGAGATACTCGCAGTGGTAGCTCCACTGGTTGAAGGTCTCCAGGATGTGCAGGGGGTCTCCGGGGATGGCGTGGGTCAGGACGTAACGGAAGGCCCGCTCTTCCCGCGAGAGGCCAGTCAGGTAGTCCCGCACCTTCCGGAGGAGCACCGCTCGGTAGAAGAACAGGAAGTAATGGCGGTATCGGATGAGCAGGGTGGCCACACAGGGCAGAAACGCCAGGGCGATGGCCGGAGAGACCATGGGGGCCACTTGGGAGGGCTGGAGGGGCGAGAAGACCAGTTGGACAAGGACTGGCGGGCAGGCAGAGAAAAGGGAAGCCCCTCCACTCACTCCCCGCTTGGCTTGAAGTGGACACTCGGTCGCTTGTCACCATGTCTTCCTAGCACAGGTGGGATTCAGCCAGTTCTCGCCAGTTCTGGAGAACCAGTAGCGGACATTCTGAGTAGTTGGGAGAACCAGCCAATCCCACCTCTGACTGGCCCCGCCAACCTCATCTCTTCTCCACCTCCTGAGTCCCAGCCGATTGGCTGGGTCTCCTTTGGTTGCCCTGCCCAGGAGAACGGAGCTGGAAAGCAGGTCAGTGGGGTGGGGGAGGGAAGGGGGATTTTGCAGTAGATCCTTCCCCTGCCACGCCCACCAAGCCACGCCCACAGAACCGGTAGTAAAAAGATTTTAATCCCACCATCGCTTCCCAGGAAGAGATGTTCCTGTTGAAAACTGGCCAACACGGACAATACCAATTCTAATTAAGTATTGAATTACTTCTAATGGTCTAGTCGTCTAACGAAGAGAAGGACCAGGGATGGCCTGGTAACTGCCTTCCAGTATCTCAGGGGCCGCCCCAAAGAAGAGGGAGTCAAGCTCTGCTCCGAAGCCACTCAAGGCAGAACAAGAAGCCATAAGGAAGGAAACTAATCCAGGAGGGAAGCAACGTGGAAACTGAGGAGGAATTTCCTGACAGTGAGAAGAATTTATCAGTCGAACATAAACTTTCCCTCCAGAAGAGACTGGACGGCCATATACAGAACAACAGAAGGGACTTTGGAGGTCTTCTAGTCCAACCCCCTGCTTGAGCTAGAGATCCTATACCCACTTCATACAAATGTCTGTCCAGTCTCTTCTTGGAAGCCTCCAGTGAAGGCCAGCAGCTCCACTGGTTAATTGTCCTCACCCTTAGGAAATTCCTCCGTAATTCCAGGTCGCTTCTGCACTTGATGAGTTTCCCTCCGTTGCTTCTTGTCCTGCCTCTTCAGGGGGTTTGAAAATTAAGTTGGCCTTTTCTTCTTCTTCTTTTTTTGATACTGACAGGCTGCTATCACGTCCCTCTTAGTCCTTCTCGTCCCGATCTCACTCCCAACCCTGCAGATGGGCAGCCTTTTGTCCTCATCCCTGGTCCAGCTCTCTTCGCCCCGCTGCGTGGTTGGATTTGCTCTCCGCACCCAGAATTACATGCTTTGCAGTTTAAAGTGACACCCACTTAAACTTACAATCATAGTTTATATATATATTATTTTACCCAAACTACGTTAGGTAACCTATGTTATTCCTAACATGGACCTTGGAGGGAAGTCAGGCAAATGCCAGGCATCTATTTCAGGCCAGTCACTTCTTTCTCCAAGGATGTGGGGCGACCAAGTCAGCGGGTCGCGGTGAAGAATCCCGAGCTGTGGAAACTGCCGTGGGACCGTTGCCCCTCGGTTGCCTTACCTGCCTGGAGCTGCAGCCAGGCGAGTCCTTTGTGCGTTTGGAGGACGCCTTCTGCCTTCTCAAAGGACAATGGGTGGCATGAATGATTGATGGCAACCCTGCAGCTACTTCCTGGGTTACCTGTCCACCTGAGACAGGTGGCAAATAGGAAAGGAACAGCACAGGATCTCAACCTCAGTAGGTCAGGCCTTGAAGGGGAAGCATTGGCAAAGGATAAATGCGACTCTGCATCTCAAGGTCGGCATCCTGTCCGGGTATGTCTCTTGTGCCACCCAGGAGTGCCTTTGTCAAACCCTTGGAGGTTCTGAGCATTTTTAAGAGCCAGGGGTGGGATTCAAATCCTTTTACTACAGGTCCTGTGGGCGTGGCTTGCTGGGCGTGGCAGGGGAGGGTATACTGCAAAGTCCCCCTTCCCTCCCACCCCACTAACCTGCTTTCCAGCTCCGTTCTCCTGTGCAGGGCAACCAAAGGAGACCCAGCCGATCAGCTGGGAGGCAGAGAAGAGATGGGGTTGGCCGGTTCTCCGAATTACTCAACATTTCCGCTACCGGCTCTCCAGAACTGGTCAGAACCAGCTGACTACCACCTCTGATGGAGACCCTTCAAAGATGCTACCGGGGAATAAGGGGAGGATTGTGACGGGACGGTTAGCTGTGGCTGCTCCTACTCCCTAATTCTTACTATAAATACCTAAATCAGAATAGAATACAGAATACTAGAATTGGAAGGGACATTGGAGATCATCTAGTCCAATCACCACCTCATGCAGGAGACCGTAGACCATTTCAGGCACGTGGTTGTCCAATCTCTTCCAGTGTTAGTGATTCACAACTTCTGGTGGCAGGCAGTTCCACTGGTTCATTGTCCTCCCTGTCAGGAAATTCCTCCTTAATTCCAGGTTGCTTCTCTCCTTGATGAGTTTCCACCCGTTGCTTCTTCTCCTGCCTCTTCAGGGGCTTTGGAGAAGAGGTGGACCCCTTCCTCTTTGTAGCAGCCCCTCAAATATTGGAAGGCTTCTATCATGTCTCCCCTAGTCCTTCTTTTCATTAGACTAGACATACCCAGTTCCTGCAACCGTTCATCGTATGTTTCAGCCTCCAGTCCCCTAATCCAGGGGTCTCCAACCGTGGCAACTTTAAGACTTGTGGACTTCAACTCCCAGATTTCCTTCCCCACCATTGAGAAATTAAACCAACAGGCTGGGTACATGGGGGCTTCCTTTAATAACAACAAACTATTTCACTAAGGCATAACCAAAAAAAAAAAAGAGATAATCACAGAACAGAAATAACAGGTTGACTTTCAGGAGCAGCTTCTGGTGGCATTTGGGATATCACAAAAGAAAGTGGTTGTGTCAGAATTATGGGCAGACGGACCTTCTGGTACATCAGATGACCCTAACCTTCACCAACCTGGATTAATGAGAAGACAGGTAGACCCTGCTTGCATGAGGAGGCTGTCCATGCAGCGTATCAATCGCAGGGAGGTTTGAGCTGCCAAACATCTAGGAGCAGGGGTCTCCCAAATTGACCACTTTAAGACTTGTGGACTTCTGAGAGTTGCCAAGTTTGGGGACCCCCGGCTCTAGAGATCTGTTCCTGACGGGTCCCTCATGCCCACCTTGGAGGCCTGAAGAACTTATCAAATAGGTTGGCAGAGAGCAAATCTTACTCAGGCGATTTCCACATTCTGGGGTGCCAATGGCTGGAAACCCATGAAATGCTGACACACACACCCACCCCCTTTAGCCAAGACCCCTTCGGTCCAGCCTATGGCACAAAACTGACCAACGTGGCATTGGAGGTGGGCGTCCCCAGCCCCTTCCTTAACAGGGCCTTTGAAGAGAGCTGGTGGCCACTTGGGTCCCGGTCGGTGCCAATGACTCAGTGGGTCAGGAATTGTGTTTTGCCTGGCCACCAAATCCACCCATTTTCTGGGTTTTACCCTGGGTTGCCAATTCACCAGGTTAATAATTGCCCAAGGATGAACCACCAGAAACCTGCCACGTTATTTTTGGGCCAATGTGGGCTGACGGCCGCCTGCTACCTGGCAGTGGCCTTCCGTGGGCTGTTTGATGGGGCACTGGGAGGAAAGAGCTGCCACAGGTGCCTTCTAGCTGGGCACAGCCTCTGTTCTTAGGTGGGCATTAAATTGATAACCTGAAATGGTTTCCCGATCAACGCAAGTCAGGCTGCAAATTTTAATATTGCTGCATCTCTGGCTTTAAAAAACAAAACAAAACAGAATTGCTCCCGGTCAGTTTCCTGCACTTGTGATTGTCTAGCAAAAAGGGCCCCTCCCTCTGCCTTGCTTCTCGCCCTGTCTTTTTACAGAGTCCTCCACTTATGACCACAACTAAGCCCAAAACTTCTGTTGTTAAGAGAGAGTGAGTTTTGTCCCATTTTATGAACTTTCTTGCCACAGTTGTTAAGTGAATCAGTGATAGGTTAGTAACCTTGTTGATCAGTGAATCCGGCTTCCCCATTGACTTGGCCCGTCAGAAGGCCGCAAAAGGGGATCGGGTGATCTTGGGACTGTCATAAGTACAAAGCAGTTGCCGAGCCTCTGAATTTTGCTCACCTGATCCCGCTTGTAACTGTGCACCGAGGGTTATAATTGTGAAAAATGGTTGTAAGTCACTCGTTCAGTTCTAGAGTAACTTGGGAGTTTGCTAGCTACCCCTTTAGTGTCAGTCCGTCTGCGGTCTGGGAAAACCATTTGCCTGCAAGGTTTGGGGCAGGCCCAGTTCCCACCCTGAGGGTCCACAGCCGGCAGAGGATGATGGGCTACAGAGCAGCCCCCTCTAACACTGCAGCTTCCGCACCGCCCTGGAGAACCTCTTCAATTCCTTTTCCCCGTGTTTCCACCTCCGGACCCAGGAGAGGACGAGGCGGTTGCTGAGACGGTGCCCCATGGCCAGCACCACGGTGCCCGGCCCCCCGGCCAGCTCCTCACAGGAGCAGGCCTCGCCATCCGCCAGCCACAGGACCGGCTTCTTCCGTTCCTCTTCGGACCAGCTGGCCTGCTTGTAAAGCGTCCGGCCGCGGAGCTCCGGGATGACTTTCAGGTCGCCCCCAACACCGGACAAGGATTTGATGGTCATCTTCAGAGCTGGAAGAGGGAGAAGGAGAGGCCAACTGGAGGTCAAGGGTTAATACAGAAGAGCAGGGGGACCTTGCAAGGTCTTCCAGTCCAACCCCTTTCTCAAACAGGAGACCCTGTACCGTTCCAGACAACACGGAACTACGTGGTCGGGCTTAGCTTTTGGGGAGGAAAATAAGGGGGAAAAAATTCTGCCTCTGCCTACAAGCCTCCATTGGTATTCATTGGCTAGCATCCTGTCAGTGTGTGAGAGAGTAGAGGGCTGTTTGGAAACGGAAAGAATATTTGCTGTGTGAGCAAGAAGGAGACAGCAAGGAGCCTGGGCGTGGCTTAGCTCAACTGTTCTGTCCTAAAGCTGCTTGGTGCTGCTGTGAAACTGAAAGTGAACCTCCTCTCCTCTGCTTGTGTTTTGCCTTTGGAAGAGATTTCTT